GAATAATTATAGATTAAGTAATTCACATGTTTCTTGTGAGTTAAGTCTTGAATCTCATTCATCTTTAAGTTGTAGTAATAGTTGCATTCTGATGATTGAATTTCTTGATCATCACTTGATTTCTTTCTTTTAATCACACACAGTTCTTCATACAGTTTTTATTTATTGCTTTTTAATTTATTCTGACACTTGCTTTTATTCTCTGATTATCTTGATAGTATTTGATAAATCTTCATGATGTGCTCTTTAAATATTTTATGAAACTGTTGTTGTAACTCTTTATCTGTTGATTTCTCTTGAATTATTGCTCAGAGATAATGTTTTGATTTCTTGAGATTCTTTTTATTTTTCTGTAAGATAATTTTGAGTTTTTTTTCTTTGTGTTTAGCTTTTTTTGTTTAATATTACTTTACTCAATATTCTGATTTATCACAATAGAAATATAATTTGTCTTTCTTTCTTCATTCTTTTTCTTTTTCATCAAGAGTGTCTTGTCTGATTGCATTCAATTTTATAGATATAAATCTGTAAGAGTGTGCTTGAGATGTTTTATTTCATTCTTTGTAATTTATCAAGCTGAATTTCTTTCATGATATCTTTTCTTGCTTCTTTATCTTTCATTTATAAAGTCAGTTTTCAATTCTAACTGCCACTTCAATCATTCCAATCAGATTTTATGATCATTTCTTCATACATGTGATCTCATCTTTAATGTTATCAAATAGTTCTCAATAGAAAGTATCAGCTAGAGCTTCATCATTTCAATCTGTATTAATGTATACTTGTTGAAATTTTATAGTATATTCTTGTGATGATATTTTCTGTTACATATTTTATAATTGCTGTATTGCTGTATTTTGTTCTTCAACTTCTCTGAAAGTGATTTTAAGTATTTTAATAAAGATTTCATAATGATCAATAACTCTGAGCATGTTATCATTCTGGTCAACTTCTCTTTTCTCATAGTAGTTTTATAAATAGATATCAAATCAATCAAATGCTGCTCTCTGAAGATATGATGCTGCTGTTATTACTTTTTTTTTATCATTTTTGAATTCTTCTCTCTTCATATTCATATAGATTTATAGTTGTTCTAGAAACACTCATAATTTTTCTTATTTATTTTTGAATGACTCTGGTGAGTTGACTTTTATCTTATTTTTAATATTAGAGATTGCTATGATCTGAGTCTTGATCTGCTTGTTGTGATTCTTTAGTTCAAGATTTTATTAAGTCAAGATCTCTATTATCTATTCAAGTCATGTAATTCTTATTCATTATTTCTCATGCACTGTTTAAGATTTCAGTTGTAGACATGGTTTCTATATTTTATTAGACTTCTTAATAGATGCACGCTTCATATCTTTATCTTTTTTTTATTTATAATATAATATTCTTTCTTTGCACTTAAGCTCTCGGAGTCTCAGCGTGTATTCTCTTCTGAATCAGAAGTGATTAATGTGTTATTGAACTTGTTGTTCAACATAATAAATTGAGACTTTAGTGATCAATATTTTAATAGTACTTGATTTTAAGTCAGCAGACTTGTTCAATGGCAAAGAATTTCTATATAGATATGTCAGAGTCGGATTAAGATCATTATATCTTCTCAAGAGTAGTGAGAACAGATACAATCATACAGTATTACAGAACTTCAGTAATATGAAAAGTAATCAAGATATGATAGTATCTGTATAGATAAATCTATAAAGAGAATTGTAAGAGAGATTAATCACAATAAACAAATTCATCTGATCAACAGTAAAGAGTGTTCTTATATACATGATGAGTATTATGAATAATTCAAGTAGTCACTTCTATTCTTCTGTTTCACTAGTCAGAATAGTCATAACTGTTCTGACTATTCAGTTATCTGTCAGTTGAGATAGTCACTACTATTCTGACTATCTAGTCACATGACTTTTATCTTTCAGATTCTAGTTCTTCCAGTCTGTAGCTCTCATAGTCTCATCATGCTCCACTTTCCACTCACATCCTCCATACACTCTTTCAATGGCATGCAATGATTCTGTGCTGTGCTGCAAGGTTTATAACATGTTTGAAAGAAAGCACACACTAAAAGCTTGCGCGCATGTTAAATATTTCACAACTTTCTTTAAAATTTCTTTTTGAAACTTCTTTAAGTCTGCAGTGGTTAGTGTTGTTTCTTAAGAAAACAAAGCTGGTCACAAGATAGTGGCTATTGGAATAAAAAACAAAAACAAAAACTACAACTGTTGCAATCATTTTTCTGTGATGGAAAGTTTGTCTTGTCATATTTTCAATTTGCTTTTAGTTTGTCAAAGCTGTATCATCAGTTTCTTTTGTATTTAGTTAAATTCTACAGCTAGAAGAGCTGCCAGATAGTCTTCATAGTCTCTGACTGCATAAGACTATAATGAATAATAATAATAATAATAATAATAATAATAATAATAATAATAATAATAATAATAATAATAATAATAATAATAATAATAATAATAATAATAATAATAATAATAATAATAATAATAATAATAATAATAATAATAATAATAATAATAATAATAATAATAATAATAATAATAATAATAATAATAATAATAATAATAATAATAATAATAATAATAATAATCAGAATGCTTGAACTCAAGAATCAGAACTGAGCTGGAGAGCAAGCAGTCAAAAAAAACAGCACAGACAATAAGAAAGTCAGAAACTGCAGCACAGCTGAATGAAATTGAAGAAACAGATCAAGCAGCTGTTAATCAAATTATTATAATCAATCAAACTGCAGAATCACTAAAGCTTCTGCAATTGAAAACTAGTCAGAAGAAGAGATTATAAAGTCTGACAAGTGAAGATCTTTTATATTATAAAAATTAATTAATAATTCTCATTAAAGAAAATCCATTTTTATCAGTACAGCTAATTAAGAAAATTCATGAGCAGTTATTAGTGACTCATTCAGACAAAAAGAAAACTTGAGCTCTGATCAAGAAACAGTATTATTGATTAATATTGCAACAGAACACAGATCATTATGTGAATAACTGTTAAATCTATTAATAAATCAAGATATTAAGAAATAAGACATCAGAACTACTGAAATTACTATCAATTCTTCACTGTGCATGACAGCATATCTTAATGAATTTCATGAACATCTTCATCATGAAATGGAAGCACAATGCAATCTTGATTATTATATATAAACTGAGTAAGAAACTCATCTCAATTTCAATTATAAAAAGAGTTAATACACACAAGCTCACAAGATTATTTATAGAGTATTACTATTAACACTATAAAGTATCAGACTCAATCATATTCAATTAAGAACTTCAGTTCATATCTGACTTCTGAAAAGAGTTTATTAAAATTTTGAGAATCAAGCTGAAACTTTCTACAGCACATCACTTATAAATAAATGATTAGACTGAAATTAATAATCAGTATCTAGCAATTCAGTTGCAATTATACATAAGTCACTATCAAGATAATTGAAATAATTTATTACTCATTATAAATCATGCTACAGCTGTCACAGTACACACTTTAACAGATACACTTCTCTTTCTAGTAGTAAATGACTATAAGTCATGAACATCTTTTAATTGACAGTCTTTATCAGACAGAGTATCATGCACTGAGTGCTTAAATCATCAGAAGACACAGAATCAAGTGCAGATTTTTAAGAAAATATGAAAATTCATACAGTAGAGAGTGCAGAAGATTCAGAAAATAATAAAAAAAATAGATTAATTATCATTATCAGAAGCTCAACTTTAAGATAAAAAATCAGATTTACTTGATTCTATATAATTATTCAGTAGATTACTCAAGCAGAAAACTGACGGAGCAGAATACTGAATTCTTTTTAATAACAAAGAAAATAGAAAATAGCTATTATCTGAAATTATTCTCAAGCATGAAGATATATTCTGTATTCTCTTCAGATAAACGTCATCAAGCAGTAACAAACTCTCTATCAGAATAAGAGTATGAGAAATCAGAATTATTAATTATTAATAGAGAAAATAAATGAAAGATAAAGCAAATTCTGATAAGTCAGATTTATCAGAAAGAGCTGCAGTATCAAGTCAAATAATTGAGATATAATCATAATTTACAGTAATATTCAGTACAGAATTTTAAGAACTCATCACATCAGTTAAGAAATTATCACAAGAGCAACTCACAGAAATCAGAATCTCTGAAACAACTAACAGAATGACTGAAGATATGAAAGAGTGAGAAAAATATATCAGAACATACAGATAATAACTTGTCAAGAATATGAAATAAGAAGATCTATAATCAGAATATCTGATATAAGAACATGTCTGAGTTTTTGAGGAGAATAATGTTAGAGTCTGATGTGAAGTAGTAAAGAAGCATCAGATTCAGAGACATGTAATCAGATTCTCCAGGCAACTGTCATTAGTAGAGCAAGAGAGTATATATTGCATGATCACTCCAGACCCCTCTTTCCTTCACCATGTTTAGTATTTTTGAATTAGGCCTACCTAGTATGACAGTTTATTAGATTCTTCTTCTTCTATTCTTGCACCTAGCCTGAGGTTGTATCAGAAGTCCTTCCTTCTTGCACCTAGATTTGAGTTCATATCATTATGCCCACTCCAGAACCCTCCTTCTGTCACCATGTTCAGTATTTTAGATTCTGCCTATCTAGAATGGCAGTTCATTAGATCTTCTTCTTTCTCTGCACCTAGTTTGAGGTCCTATCAGATGACTGTTTAATTGCATGGTTGCATGAATCTTGCTTCACCCAAATCAATCAGCAGCATGCGCGACTGGACCCCGGGACCCTTTCGTAGAAATGGACTCAGAGCGCCCCCAAACCAAGTATTGAATAACAAACAGCATATGAAGCCGATGGTCCTCGATGAATCGGAGCATATTGACAAGAACAGATGCCTGTGTCGGATGTACATCAAGGCGGTAATTTGACTATTGGAACATTGCGCGTAGAGTGGTGATAGAGATAATGCACCATGGACGAAACACAAAGAATTCAGGAAGCCATGGCGGTGGTACTGAGCCGTATGCGTACGGAGGTCGCCGCCATATGTTTTGGTCCTTCAGTATAGTGGCCTTCTCCCAAGCCGCGCTGCTTAGCGGTCCTTAACTTGTAGGGCTGCAGATACCAACCCCCCTTGCCCCCGCAAGATCACCCCTAAACTCAACCCTGCGAACGCCCGAAAGTGTGGATTCAAGGGGACCAATATTTATGGCGGCGACCTCCGTACATTGGAAGCAAACAATGAGGGCCACACTCCAGAGGATGTATGCGAGTAGTGAAAACTCGGAGGCAAAGATTCCGACTGCTACGACGCATAAGAGGGCTTGCTAATATGGCCATAGATGAAAACGCTGATCACACAAGACATTAGACAACTGCAACCTTTTCGCAATTAAAATTGATAAGATACATACGGAAGCATATTTAGATTTTGTATGTACGTCGACATACAGAGATAATGCTAGCTCACGATCGCCAATCCTGGTAATCATATCATCTGCTGAAAGTAGATAAAAAGAAGTTCCATCTAAGCGTGGGAAGTTTTGCGTTGACCTGAGCAAGCTGTTTTGAAAGTGATAGTTGGATACTGGTGGAAGAAATGTTCTATCTCCACAGCTGTTGCAGACGGGGCCGGAAAGTCAGACAGTGGGAAAGTAATTTGACTGGAATTAACGCCATCATGAAAGACGAGTTGAGAAGATGTTGTAGAGAAAATTATCGGTGGGGGTGACTGGTTCTGGTAATATCAGTGCTAAGCGTCAAATATGGCAAGCGCAAGGAGCACAAAAGTACTAACCTGATGTTGCGCTTTCGAATGTAGTTGCCACTTTCAGGACGTGGTCGGATCATTTGGTCTGCAATATTGAATCTGGTAGAAGTAAGCCAGATGCAGGTCAGGACATGCAGTGCTTACTCTGTGACGGGTGAGCTACTTCTTTGAAGTGATGCTACTTATATCAAGTAATAATAATATAGGGTTAGTAACTTAATAGGTAAAGGGTTTTATTGTCGAGAAAATAGATATCGGATCGTGGCCGATTTAACCCGTAAATATTTAAAGGAAAAGTTGCCATAGACTGGAATTTTATGGTAATGACAACGTTTCTGCAGAGCCGCCAGAAAATAAACTATAGACTTGTAACAGAGGAGGAAACTGTGGCTGGATTAGTAAAATAGTTGATGATGATAGTGAATGATCCGAAAGTCGATGTTTGCAAGTGGTAATAAATGTTCAACGCGACACTGTCATTGCCAACGTATGTGAGTAGTGTTGTCAATGAGGCGATGTAGAGATCTTTTCCATTTCCATTGAAATTAAGTTTCGAATAGTGTCAGAATCTGGCGCATTTTGGAAAGTGCATGCATAGCATTGCTGAAAGTATTCGAGGACATCCTTGTTTGGAGCACGCGGTGAGGGGTTTCGAGGCCAAGGCTGGATTGAGCTTCCAAACTTCAAGTTATTATACGACATTTCTCCTGATATGTTTGCAGTATAGCCTTCCACAATCCTCTGCTGTTCCGGCGCGTTCCTAGAGGTCTCAGTGCCTTTGAGCTGAAGTGTTCAAAAGCGGGTTGGTTTCACTTCGTCAATCAAGTCTTGTCACGAGAGACCAAGATAGCAGGAGCTCAATGTTTATATAACTAATAGTGTCAGTATGCTGCTGAGCTGGTTGGGAAGGTATTGCGCTCCGTAGTTCTGAGGGTGTTGGTGGTTTGAAGAGGAATGTCTTTGCTGTGGAGTTTCGTTACTAATAAGTTCGGAGCTTAAACCTTAAACTCATTAACTAACTAACTACGGAGTAGTCAACTAGTCAACTAGAGCTAACTAGTTATGGAGTAACTCATTAATTAGTTAGCTCAAGCCCCAAGAGGACAGATTCACTCTCACTATTATTTAGTCAAGATTACTTACCTGAGTAGTCATATGTGCAACAATCACTGAAAGGAGGAAGGGTATTTTACCTCCCAACTACAATGGTAGGCCTTTTTCAATCACTTGAGAAGTCCCCAAGTGATCACTGATAACATTTTTCGCGAATAGGCACAGACTCCACAGCAACGGAGAGCGAATGACAGATACGCAAAACACGAAAGTGCTAAACGTGGAAAGCCAGAGAGCCTATCGAAACCAAAATCGAGACCAAAACCGCCAGTCTCAGCTGGCTGGGTTGGTACGTTTTCCCAATTCACGTTATCTTCCATCGGCGAGGTTTGACATTCTGTTTTTAGTCGTTCTTGCTTTTATAGTGGGTGGCGGGGTCATTTTCGAGCTGTTTCGAGTCATTCCAGAGCTATGGGCCTTGATATCGTCGCTGATAAGTCGGTGGACAAGTTAGGCATTGGTGCCAATTGGTGCTACTAATAATATCAATCGAATTCTGTATGGAGCTCTGGGACACGAGTTTATATAAGGTCCAACGTTCTTTCACTGATAACGCTTTTACTATGGCTGCAAAAACGGTGGATATGAGAGCAAAGAGCATTACAAATAGATTATAAACCACGTAAATTGATCGGGTGAAGTCCCAGTTTTGGTCAGTTATTGATTGGTATTCCACACCAAGATAAGAAGGTTTGTTCACCCACCTGCTTGGGCCTGATAGGATGTCTCTTTCTTCCCTACTCTCTTTTTCTTCTTCTTTTTTCCCACCGTCGCCTCGTCATTATTTGTACACTCCGAGGCATTGCAGGTTAACTCCGCAGCCTTTTGCGCAGCTGGTTTCCTGCGTTTTTTTCCTTCGGCAGAACCCAACTTTCGCTTCTTCCGTTTAACTAACGCGCCGTCTGAAGGTATCTCATCGCTAGCATGAATACATTCCGAGACGCGTTGCATTTCTAACCGGGCCTGCTCGATTCTTGCCATAGCCTCAGCCATTTCATTTGTTTCTAGATCACCATGTTGCAGCTTATTAGGATGAGAGTTGGTTTCGAACTTCTCTTCTAGAGTCAAATGATCGAGGCCGCTGGAGTCAACTTCAAGGAGTGGCTTCCTAGTTTTAACCACCCTGGAAACCAAACTGGCTTTAGCATTCAAGGAAGCCTCATTTACATCGATAGTTTCGTCAGCTATTATGTCAAAATTTTTGCGCCGATGTCTCGGTTTCTCTGCCTGCCGTGCATCAAGTATTTGAATATTGTCTTTCTCCACCGCAAGGTCAACTATAGGAATCGAGTCGACATCCAGGATTTCACTAGGAGTTTCCCGAAGGGCGGAGTGTGATGATCTCGATGGTTCAAAGGAATCTACGCTCTGTTGAATGTAGAAAGGATCGTCTTTATTCCGCTCTCTCCGTTCAGCTCGTCTTCTGGAAGCCTCGATAGGACTGAGAAAATCGTCTGATAGGTTTTGATACGAGCCAGATTGTGGTTTGTTCGAGGGTAGCGTTTCCTGGGGGGACGGTTTCCCGCTCAAAGAGGGTTGCGGGGCGTTGTAGAAATCGTGGAAATCATCATGGGCCCAGAGATCAAGGGACCCATTTTCGAATTCATTTAGAATATGGGGGAGTTGCTTATTCAGCGGGCTATCCAAATCCAGAAAGCGTGGCGTCGGTACCTTCCTCTGAGCATCAGCTGCCACTGGATTGAGATCTAGGCCAGCAAATAGGCTTGGAATAACCGAATATAGAAGTAACGGAGCATTTTCTGTATCAGTTTCTGTCTTTGAGACAGATTCTGAAACTATACGAAATAGTTCCAGAAATTCAATTGCGCGCTCCTGCACATCCAAATCGTGGTGAGAGGAAAGACTTTCTAAGAAGCTCACGATGCGCGCAATGATAATCAAGATTTCGTTCTGTCTCACCGAGCTCCAGCCGTAAGCGCTCCTTGTGAGGAAAACGAAGACCTTAGGAATGGCTTGAAGATATGAAGATAAAACCTTTGGTGGCAGAGTTATATTTGATGGATGAACCAAAGAGGACAGTGTCTGTTCTGGCACGAGAAGGTACTCTGAGAATTCTCCCGTAACCCACGAGGACGATTCTAATATCGGAATGGCTGAGTTGATAGTGTTTGGGAACAAGGCCGCACGGTGGTCGACTGAGACCAACGACTCGGCGGCGTGCGTGGCTTTAGCCCTTGCACTCTTGACCCGAACGGCCACATTGCGAAGCTCGAGTCCGATGCGCGCTGCAAAGGCTCGATTATCCTCCACCTGTCCTTTTGACGCCAGAAAGTCACACTCTCTGGGATCGGGTAAAGGTGGTATTAGCTTCACGAGTTGCACCAAAACATCAACGTACCATTCAAAATCGATGATAGAGGAATAAGTGTTGCGGGAGCACGCCTCTAAAATCCGAGCCAGAACTTCCATCCGATAATCGGTTGGGAGCACGAGCGTAGCGTCTTGTTTCCTGTTGGCTCCTGCCAGAGGTACTTCCGGATCTTCCACTTCAATATCCGCGGATAATTTCACTTCAAGCGGCAAATTTGTTACAGAGACGTCCGAAAGGGGCGAAGTCCGAAGCTGAGTTATTAATCGATCGACGACAGGTTGCAAAGTGTCGCTAGTCACCATTGTTGATACAAGCTGTAAAGCCTGTAACCGGATTGATACATCGTTGTCCTCTAAACAGTCCATAATAACGTCCTGATGCTCTAACACAAGCATTGGGTGTGAAAGAACTATTCTGTTGAAGGCTAGAAGCGCAACGTATTTAACTTTAAATAGTTAGAGAAGGGCCCGTTGAATAAGAAGTAGGGTTGGTTACGGTTTGGATCTCCTCCCAGAATTAGCATCCCGCGAAGCTTTTCGACGCACAGATGCGCAATGGCTTCCCCCTCTGAGCCTTCGAGGATCCCTCCTTGAATAACGCCGTTGATACACTCGTAAAGAAGGGACATGGCGGACGTTGTTTGTATAATGGTCGTCAAAGGCCGCAATAGTTTGCGAATAAGGCGCGGTTCCAACGGCGTCAACGAAGCAAACTAAAAATTTAGCTTCGGGATATGTGGCTTTGGTCTGTAGTTTAATCACCTACGAGTTTGATAATCTTAATCGCCATCCAATTGTTGCCGCCGTCTATCAGCAAAGTAAACAGCCTTGGCGCAAGAGGCAGGAAGTCCTGAGGCCTCCTCCAACCAAGTTCACACACCACGTTTATCACCGCGGCGGTGACACTGCTGTCTTCCTGCTCGTCCATTAGGCGCTCTTTTATCTTCGGCCACGCCAATCGAAACGCTTCTGGATACACCAGGGATAGCCGGTAGAGGTTTACTGCGGTCTTCTTCCGCACCGATGGATGGGAATGGGAGAGGCGGGGCAGCAAATCCGAAAGCAGCGACAGGGCTAGCGACGGGGAAATGATATGAGGAAGGGCTAAGAGGGGTAACGACATTGTCGGCACGAGCGGAGAAACGATATCCTGAGCTGTACTTAGCTACGGATCCAACAAGGAAGCATGACTTGATGTTTTAACAACCTTCTTCAGCAGGTTCGTAGTCAACATTAAAACTTCAGTGTCTGGTCGAAAGCTTTGAACGGCTCCGAGGTAGCCAACTCGCTTTTGGAGATAGTTCTGGGAGGACATGACTTCTAGCACATGGAACGCAGCCCAAGACATATCATAACCGAACATTTCGAGATATATTAATTTGAGAAGTGCGGTTGCCTTCTTGACTTGAGGAGATGTGAGCTCATCAAGTATTGGTTGCTTGGACGAGCAACACTAACCCATGTCCTGCGACTTGATTTCTGTCCCACATTCCCTTAAACAGTGTTGTATATATTCTGCCTCATTGCCTCTGTGGTTCCGAAGACCACGTATGAGGTCGTAAAGAGATTTCTCAAACCTGGACTAGTAGTCAGTGTGGTGAGCTTTTGTGGCGAGGAGGCATCGCACTCACATGATGTATCAACAGATCCTAAAGCCAAGGGCCCTTTGGTTGTTTTTCCAGCAATTCTTTGTTCATATCAAAGCTAGATATGACAAGGCACAGTATACAAAGGAGCCAGAGTGTTCGATTTGAAGAGTTGATATTAACGAAGACTGAAGTGCATTAGTAACTACAAGTGATGACCTCACAAGACCTCTGATCTGATCTGACTAATCATTGGTTAACTAGTTAACCCATTAACCACCTGGAGGCTGCACAGGCCAGTTAACCAGCAAGCTAATTGGCATGGTCAGGGAAGTCGGACAAGCTGACTAATATGCTGAGTCCCCGCCAATCATCAGCTCATACTAAAGGTTTGTTGACGCTTCCCATTCCGAGCGCTACCCCTGAATGCAAAATATTCCAGACAACGGAGCATTAAAGAATGCTTCGAGACCATCGTCCCGGAAATCTCACCATATACCCTTGTTTTTAGGCAATCTTATGCTTAGGATATCATCAAGCTTGATACAAACTCTGGATCCTCTGTCCAGCCTTCAATCTTCCGCATTCCTCTTATTCTCCAATACTTAGGTCGCTATATATTCTCACGAGTGTCGCTTCACAGGTTTCAGCGTTTTATTGCATGCCATGTATGCGCAGTATGAAAGTCTATGTTTGCAATGAACTCCCGCCATCAGACACTTAGTGATTTCACATCGGTCGCCGCTTGTCCATGCGTACCCCATGAAGACTTGAGAATATGCCTTCGACGATACCCCAACCGTCGCGTCCGACGACAAACCCTCCTTCAGCAATGCTCCCACCTTTGCCCACGAACAAGCCGAAAAGGCACCCTCCCGATCTTGGTGATGCAAGGGTTTCAACCGCCAACGCATCTCTCCTCAAACTCCGTGCGCCTTCGTCTGTAAAGGCGACCGCAAAGCCAACCGCCCCGTCACCTCCTTTTAGCTTCAGTAACGCAACCGGGAGATCGCCATCTATGGGCTACGCATCGAACAGCCCTGAGAAAGTACTACGACGGGCAGTTAGTGTTGCTTCATTCCCACACCCTCCGAAGACGGCTGTTCGCCCATCACATGGGTATAGCTCTCCTTCATTATACAACCTTTCGGCTGTGAGTCCAAGGTCACCGGACGCTATCTCCGCCTCGAATAGTGTGAAGTTGAAAAGACCTCATAGAATCAGCACAGCAATCGCGAACACTTCGCAAAGCCCCAAAACCCCGACTCTCCTTGATAAGAGTGGGGAGGGATGTTCGATTATGAGTGTCAAAACCCCCCCAACCTCGGAAGCGCAGTTTACAACTCATTCTCGAACTCCAAGCAGAAGCTCTTCAGCACAAGGGTCGACTTATTCTACTAGCGCAACTTCCTTCGTTGACTGCGATGAAAATGGTCGAAGGGAGAGGGATGAGCCGCGGTCTCGAGAAGATCCGATTGCGGCGCGCAGGACCAGCAAACGCAGTTCGAAGATAAAAGAAGGAAAAGGGAATGTTATCGTTAGCGTTAGGGTTCGACCAGATTCTACCAATAACGACGATAGCAAAACAGAAGGCGAGTGGCTGGTAGATGGGAGAGTGGCACTGGTTTCTTATCGTGGAAAAGAAGGAGGCGATTACTTTTATGGTAAGGGTTCCTTGACATCTGAGATTTTGGCTTGTTAACTATGATCTGTCCTGTCTCGTTCGCTAATTAAAATTTCAGATAACGTTTTTGGGACTCAGGATAATAACGCTAAAGTTTATGATGCATCCGCAAAAAGACTTGTTCGCCGAGTTATGGAGGGCTATCACGGGACTGTTTTTGCATATGGAATGACGGGCACTGGCAAAACATTTTCAATGCAGGGAACAGCCACGTCTCCCGGAGTTATACCATTGGCGATCACTGATATTTTTTGCTATATCCGAGAAACCCCTCACCGCGAATTCCTTCTGCGGGTCAGTTACCTGGAAATTTACAACGAGAAAATTCATGATCTTCTCTCAACTCCATCTTCCGCTGGGATTGGGCCCGGAGCGGGACAACAAGAAGAAATCAAATTGCGAGAAGACAGCAAGCGAGGAGTCTACGCGACACCTCTAAAGGAAGAAATAGTCCAGAGTCCGACACAGTTACTGAGAGTAATTGCAAGGGGAGACCATGCTAGGAGGACGGGAAGCACTCAGTTTAACTCCCGCAGCTCCCGAAGCCATGCCGTGGTTCAGATCGTGGTGGAAAGCCGGGAACGAGTTTCGGCCCCTAACGTGACTCATGAAAAACGTACAGGTTTAGCTCCCGGAGGTGTACGTGTCTCAACACTTAGTTTGATCGATTTGGCAGGCTCCGAACGTGCAGCTGAAAACAAAGAGAGACGCACAGAGGGTGCTCATATCAATAAAAGCCTGCTCACCCTTGGTACTGTAATTGCGAGACTTTCAGGAGATAAGGACAGGGCCACGAACCAGTCAGATCGCGATGGAAAACATTTGCCATACCGAGACAGCAAACTTACGCGATTGTTACAACCCGCATTATCAGGAAATTCCCTGGTTAGTATTCTCTGTACGATCCAAATCGGGTCGACGGGAAGCGCTGCGGCCACCAATACACACGCGAACGAAACGCTAAACACGCTGAAATTCGCCGCTAGAGCAAAAAACAACATCGTTAGCCATGCAAAACGCGCGGAGGAAGCCTTGGGCGGTGCTACTGGAGATGCAGGTAGCCGTGTTCTTTTGGAACGGTACCGCATGGAAATTCAGAGCCTGCGAGCACAGCTTGATAAGCAGGCCAAGTCGCATTCGGAACAAGAATCTAGGCTGGAAGAGAAACGAGTCGAGAGAGAAGTGGCAGCCCGTCATGAAGAACAAATGTTAGAAATGCAGCTTGCAAGAACGGCGTTAAAAGAACGAATCGAACACCTCAACCGTTTGATTTTGTGTTCGAAATCCACCGGGGTGAATGCCAGTGGGGGATATTCAATCATGGGTTTTCCGCATTTTCGGGGGTTTGACTCGGGGTCCCTCCGTTCATCCGGGTCCCATTCCACTTTGGGCGGCGTGCAATTATACCGGTCGGGCTCGACGACATCCGTCAAGAGCAACGGTGGACTACCATATGATCACTACTCACCGTTTGGGAATACTGAGCACGAGGAGGACACCATAGGTGAGTTTGCGGATGGGACGGCCAGCGTTCAGGCGCAGATCAATGCTCTGCAGGCGGATCTCGCAGATAAAAACCGTTACATATCGACCTTGGAAAGGAGGCTACTGCAGGCGCGGCGTTCCAGCCATTCGCGGATGTCTGTGGGTTTGTCCCAACTAAAAGCGTGCGGAACGTCCCCTAGCGATCCGGAGGCGGCGGCATTACTTCGGGAAAAGGATTTGGAGATTGCAGACTTGCGGCTTCAGTTGGACGATAAGGACCGGATGGTAGCGGCGCTTCGATCTGCCGCACGCCAGCGTGAAATCGCGCAGCTGGCAGCCGAGACCCTCCCGCCAGACCCCCCGAAACTCCCTGCTATCCCTTTGCGTGGTCATCGAGCCAACCGACAAAGCTGTGAGAACAACAACAGCAATCATAGCAATGGCCCGGTGGTTGGCGCTGCCGCCGCAGGGGCAGTGAGCCCAGTCAAGCTCCTGTCACCAACCAAAACTAGTGACCCCGACAACAGGGACAAAAAAAGAAGAAGTGTGGACGAAATGTCGCGAATGCTGGACGAGATGATACAAGACCGAGTTGAAAGTGGACATCTTATCAAGGGCGTAAGAGGAAGCGTGCGTCTTGCTCATGGGCTACGAAGCAAAGGATTTGCGGATATGACAAGCCCATCCCCGACCGACACAGCTCCGCCCCTTGAAGGGGCAGCAACATTGCCGGCAAACGCGGATGTTTCTTTGGCATGAATCATGACGACAAATTCATTCTTCGATACATTATTTTTGACAAGATCTGTGTTCTCTTTATTCCTGACGTCTGCTTCTTTTTCTTCTTCTTCTCCCCTCTCCACATCCAATCTACCTTGACTTTTTTTTTGTACCTTTTTTTCCGCTCTATTTTCTCGATTATTCTGACGGTATGATTATTATCTGGAAGGAAAGGCTTGAGTTTGTCAGTGTGATACCCATATTGTTCGATGAATGGAGTAAATGTATGGAATTAGGCCTTGGAAATGTTTCTTCGTTTCTTTTTCTTCTTTTTCTTCTTTGTCTCGGTTGATTTGTCCCGTAAGATTATGTTAGTTACTGAATCCAACGTTGTGTGGAGTGCGAGCCAGGATGACCCTCGGGGCTGGTGGTGCCAGCGCAAAGCTGAAACACCGGCGTGCGAGGCCTCGACGGGTCACAGTCCCGAAACAGGCTCACGCCCGGCGCCAACCCCCACCGATCAACGGCCACACGCTGATCGCCAGCGCAGGATCCTGTCTGCTCGCTGCAATTGAATCCGCGCGTTTTGAAACCCAAATGAAACCCGATCCCTCCTGCATGTGAACAATGCCGTCTGCGCTTCTCTTCCCCTCGCTTTTCTCCCAGTGACCCGATCGCTCGGAAGGATTGCAAGCTCTTTTGTGTGCCAGGGCATGGAGTCGCCTGCATCGCCAGTGCGTGAAACAATTGCCTTTGATTCGGGACTCCTCGACTCGAGTCGCTGGCCGATCTGGGACCCGCTGGGAATCTTTTTGACCTCTGTCTCCAAGCTTCCCCGGCAGTTTGCCTGAATTATTTTCTCGCTCTTGTCTTGATATACAATCTCGAGCGACAATCTTCGCGTCTGTCATTCCCTGTGCTTGTTTCGCTACCCCCGCTCACCGAAACCAACACTGATTTGCGGTTCCAGTGGGCTCGTCGCTGGTTTGACGACTCACCAGTGGTTGGTGGCACCAAACTTCCGTCGGAATTTATCCTTCAAGCACTGGATTTGGCGCTTCCGCGTGGCCTGCCTTGTTCTGCAGCTATGCCCTTGAGAGTCCGGTTGTAACAAAGCCATCACTCGCGACGGCCCTTTTTTTGGTTCACCAGCTTTGATCCTCTGGGAGGAACATAGCTCTCTTGTTGATGCGGTCCCCCTGAGAAGCAACGGGCTCCTTTAGAGACCTTTGCTATTCAACCTCTGTTATTGCTTCACACTTGGACTCCCCTCGCTTGATCTACTGGCCCTCCTCGACCCATAGCTCAGGCACAGTTGCTTGTGGTTTTTGAGCAGTTTAGTTGTGCTATTGGACTTCGGATCACTTCGACTCATTAAAACAAGAGTTCTTTCATTTTGTTCGGATTTAGACTTCAAAATTTTCGATACCGCAGCCTGTTTCTTTTGCGTGGGTGACCTGCGTTTTGATAACCAGTCCGCGCTCTTCGATTCTCAGACCACACGTTCGCTATTCAGTTCTTTGTTGCATCCAACTCACCTTTATTCACTCCTCCGCTTTTCTATTTCGGCGGTCCAGGTGACGGCGTGTCATCCACAGCGAAACTCCTGTGAAGAATATCACTCTCCTTTGAACATGATTATCTCATCGCGACGTGACCCGTATAGGACGGCTGTCCGTAGGGCTCCTACCCCGAGCAATATTCGGCTGACCCCGCGGACTTTACGCGTTCCTTTTATCGACTCCCCTTTACCATCTCCTGGACTTCCGTCAATATTTCCTCGCCGTACTTCTAAGCCTTCGCGTTCTCGACTTCTGAGGAATTGGCGAACTTTGGGGCTAGTTATCGGGTGCTGTATTGTCATCGCATGGCTTATCCTCCCACCCCGCCATGTCGATAGTGCTGCTCTTTCTTACCAATCGCAGGGTGGAGATGCATATGAAATTGTTGAGAGCAACGTGCTACCCGACATTGCTGGCCCAATTATGATCAAGGATAAAAAGGGGCGTGCCCGATGGACCATCTCACTTCCGCCGGAACGCTCCTTGCCGCTACCGCCCTCGGACTACGCCAGAATATGCATGGAGGCGGAAGATCTGGCGACCCATGTGGCAAGAACAATGAATGCGAAACCTCGCACTGCCAATGGTCAATATTACGGATTCCACTATGAGGATAAAAGCTTTCTAGATATCGCGGATGCGGAAAACCAAGGACTTCTTCCTAGTACGGTTTCAGTCCAGCCAGGGGCTGTGGCTGGATCGGAAGGATACCAGACTGACCTGCCCCTCTGCAAACGTTCTTTGACCTTTCTCCTTCAATCAGATGATGCCGGGTTAGGCCCGACGTTGATGGGGCTATGGATGGCCTATGGATTTGCGAAAGCAGAAGGAAGGGACTTTTTCATTGATGACTCTAGTTGGGCTTACGGCACATACACTACATACTTTAAACCTCCACCAATACCAGCATGCCGCCCTCCACCTGTTTCGCATCGGATCCCGTGCCCGGCACAAGCGCGGCATTTATTGATTTCACCTTCTACTTTCCGGTGGATTTTTGATAGTACTTTTGACGAAAAATTTCAAAGTCGACATCAAACTGGCGTTGATCGACATAAGCCTATATTCTCTCTTCTTCGAACTGGTTTTGAATGCCTCTTCCGACTGAATGACCAAGACAATGAGTTATATAAGAAGCGGATCAAGGAGCTAAGAGCTGAAAGTAATGGAGCTCAAATTGGCATTCATATCCGCCGGGGTGACCGCCATCCTCTGGAATTTCAGTACGAAAACTCTTACATCCCTCTGGATGTCTATGCTAGGGGAGCTGAAGAACTGGTCAAGTCAATTCGTGCCCCTGATCTTTCCCATCTCGAAGGTGGCGCAATGATCCTCGCCTCCGACGACCCAGATGTCCACTTCGCTCCGGAAATGATGCATACCCGGAAAGCTCAATCTTTCATCTCACTCATAAGCAAATCTACCCTTGACACGGTATCCCCCGGCCAGAAGCGTCCTGTAGATGAAAATAGCGGCTGGGAAGGCGGCTTCTTTAGCAGTCTATTTTGGTCCTTAGGCTCTCCACTGTCTCGACCAATGGCCCCCAACAGTCCACCGCCATCCGGATACCCTACTACGCGATCTGCTCATAAGGGCCATGGTCAGTCTTCAAGCCCATCTGCTGATCGGCGAACATTTCTCCCAGATAATGATCACTTCCGTTTCCATCCTCCTGAAAGTGCCCTGCGCTTGCGGGAATTCGTCGCTCGCGCATACCTACTCGATCTCGCCGTACTTAGTTCGTCTGACGCGATCGTATGCGGTGTGAGCAGCGTTTCGTGCCGGTTGCTGGGAGTTATGCTTGGCTGGGAGAAAGCCATCGAGCAGAAAAAATGGAAAAACGTAGACGGGTCGATGCACTGGCAGGGATTTATTTGGTAGTTGAATGACTTGTCTTCCTACCTCCCTTTTTTCATTTGGAGATGTCTTAAGCATGAGGAGTTGTTGGAACAAGAAGTAAATTTAAGATACCTGGGTCTCACTGATATTGTTCAATCATAGGCATTTCTTGTCAGGTCTTTTTTGATTTCGTCCTGCGTTTAGCATATTCACAGATACATAGACACAAGAACAACATAGTGAATGATATCAAAATGAACAAGTAACTACTAAATACTATTGTCAGTATCAATTAATCTCTAATTCTGATTGCCTCTCAGTTGCAAAGGTATCTTTCCATTCCTCCCATAATGTTTGCAAACTTGCGACGTATCTAGCATGCAAATCATCCACATATTTGTCCTCAATCTTATCCCTGTGTGGTTGTTGCAGTACTGGAATTGGCTTGCCCACAACAATATTCAGCGGCCTTCGATACGGCATTAATCCGACATCATAGTTGAAAACGCCCCTTGCATGGAAAAGAGGGATCGTGAATCCCATTGTACGCTTGACTAGAAGTTGAAATTTATGGATAAGAGGGTGTTGATCGGAGGCAACTTGTTTATATAATTCATTTTCCCCAAACGCCAAAACCGGGACAAGATCTGCGCCTGTGCGAATGGCAAGTTTGATGAACCCTTTTCGTCGTTTCAGAAATAGTCGAATCATGTGCGGCTGGGCATCCAGGGACTCTCGTGCACCACCTACCACAATCGTGATTGCTCGCCCCATGCCTTCGCCATCTGCGCCGCCTTTTGATAGCAGGTTTTCGCATGATTCACGTGAGACGCTAGCAAGGCCCATAGCGAGAGCATAGTCGCGATAGAAAGGTAGCCGGAAATTAGAATCTAAGGTGAGCAACGAATTGGTGATACCTGGAAATAGCTCGGAGAACCCCAGTGCTTCAGTCGCAAAGGCTGCGAACGCTCCGTGGGATATGATCCCATGGGGATGATACCCAAAAATATATTTCCTTGTTGGAGGGAGTACTTCAGATCGATGGAGTTTCGCAGGAAAATAGCCGGCAAAGTAAGTCCAAATTCTCAGTGACCGCAGAAATCGATTTCGTCGCTTCAAGGAGCCATCTGTTGCTGCTTTTGAGAATAAGGATATATAGATAAGGTAGGGGAGCAGGAGAGGCCAAAACAATGGAATTGCACAGGAAAAGAAAAAGGCAGTGAGGAAAATGGCAATCGAAATAGTGTGATAAAGGACCACAAATGTTTGAAGGCGCCGCGTCGGACTGATTCTAAGAGGAGCCCATCGGATCCTGAAGTTGAGGGAAAAGTAAGCGAGGTTGACTTCCATGCGTTTGAATAATAGCATACGTACCCGAGAGGAGACTCTGTGCCCTGAAGCCTGGGTCGGCTCTGGTTCAAAGTCCTTTTGCACTCCGGAGCTGACGGACCATCCAGATAGTTTAAAGGCCCCGGCCCCGTCCTCAGCCCGATAGGCGGCGTCCCCCCATCCTGCCATGTCTCCTCAGTACTGATAGACCCTCCGCATCTTGGAGTACCATCAACAATACCATCTCTTTCACAGCCATTAGCTTGTGACTGTTTTGTCAAGGGAGATACTGGGTATCCGTTCGTTGTCGGTTGATGTTCCTCCTCTCGCAAGCCATTCATTTCTATCAATTTCAGGCATAAGCTAAGCTCGTGTTCCTGCTTCTGATGGCCCTATCATGCGTTGCAAGGAGAAATTGTAAAATATCCTGATTGTTACAGCTCAAACTCAACCAAGCAAGACAGTCTTCTTCAGGATGTATCAACATAATGATGGGAGCTACATGTGAAGATCAGATGACGTAGGTAGTTAGTTAGTTAGTTAACAAGGTTGAGCTGTGGTTCTTATCATTCACTCCAAAGCTAGTTATTAACAAGTTAACTAGTTAACTAGTTAATTAAGTAGATTAACTACCCTAAGTTAAAGCTTAATAACTAACTCGCGGTTCCTTAACTAGTTAACTACGGAATAGATAGCCAGCTTATTAACTTATATATATATATATTAGATCTTGTTACTGAGAGTTAATCATATCTAGAGTGAGTCAACAAACTATTGAGGTGTTTTAACTGGACTCTTATGCAGCCTTTTTGAGTGGGGTAGCCTTGCTCCAACACAAGCTACTTGGGGCAGGGCTACGCCAATGAGGCTCCGTTTCTGGCATTTGAATTAGGTCGATTTGTTGAGGGATACTTTTCTAATTTAAATAGTCAGGGGTGTCGAACGGACAGAAATCGGTGGGAGCTCTATAATGCACGGCCTGTGACATAACTAGTCATGTCACTGCAACATGCCAAATCTCGAAGCTACTCAGAGCATTTACACATTAGACTGACTCTGGGATAGAGAGAGATGGGACACTCTGTATAGATAAAGGAGAAAGGGGTATTTCTGATATGTGGTGAAGTGCAATTAGTTACTCCATACCGGCTCCAGCTTTGAGAAAAGTATGTAGTTACGGAGTTAAGGCGGGCAACTATGGACTAGGGGGGTCCAGAACCCAACCCCAATCGCACTAGCTTTCCACATCGATATGCAATTTGAAATCCGGTAGCCCAAACATCTGAATCCATGTCTTTCGATATTCGCGTATTATGTACTCCTTGTAGCTGTTGACGGCATTGGTGGCCTCCGATTTGTTTTCGAACAGCCCTGTGCCATGTTGTTTCAGCATATCGCACATATGATTATGGAACCGACAGAGCATTGAGTTGTAGTAAGGATGAAGACTATTGCCAACCTTCCATCCCAATGGAGGAGGCATTGTTGGAAACTTGACTGTCGCTTCCACTGCTAGCACAGCCGCCTCGCTATACTCAGTTTTTCAGAGTAGTTCGGATTCCCGCGATTGAACCAAGAGGGTGCAAACCCCATTCAGCGCGAATATTATCGGTAATGCTTCGACTATGGCGAAGCCATTCATTTCGGAAAGTCAAATAATCGAAGACCCCTTGCCGCTGGAGATTGGATCGTAGTTCCGCACCGAATCTATAGAGAAGCCATTCGTAGTATGAATGCATCTTGTCATTTGGCGCCCACACTGTGGGTGGCGGCGTTTCTGGAAGTTTCACAGCTTCCTGGTAAGCGCGGGCCGCAATAGCGAGGAACCGTTCTTGCTTTAGGGCGAGATCTAGGGGCAACTTCGGGCCATCGAATTGCGGCTAAGTAAACAAACATGGTCATAAGTTTTGCCTGCTAAGGACTAGTTGAAGATATATTGGTGCTTACCGTTAATGGAATGGCTTCAACTGGGTCAGGGTGAATTTGATTCCTGCTTTTTGGAGTTGGAGTGAAAGGAGATAAAAGATTCTCAACAAGGTTGTCTTCAAGTTGAGCAAGATTTGAGGCCCTTGGAGTTGAGAAAGGGGTATGCTGGGCCATTTTTCATCCTGAGTTCCGGAAACGGAGCTTGTTATCAAAAGAGAACAAATATGGTAAGAATATACATGAAGTATTTCGAAGTGTTGTGTATCTAGGTCTAGGAATTAGGGAGACACATGGCAAGACCCGTTGAACTTACAGCGCCTGGGCAACAATGTAAGAAATGAAAATAAACATGAATGTATCCTTGTTTTGTTTTGCATTTGCGTCACGATAATATGCACGCTATTCACACTCAATGGAGGAAACGGGTATAAGCTTTTATTATCATTGTAAACGCAAGAAAGAAAAGAGGGCAGCTCACCCAGGGCAATAGAAAATTCAAGCACTCTCTATAGAGCGGACCAAATGCATCGGATTCTGCATTTTTTTTTCTATACCTTATAACCAATAAGAAAACAAACAAGGACTGATATAATATCATGCGATGGGCGGAAAGTGAGGTATGGTCATCAGACATTCAAGATGTCATAAATATCTGCTACTGTCAGATGGTACCATGTAAGGCCAGAAATAGCCTCTTACCTCATTCAAAGACTTGGTATCCATCAAAGCCATCTTTTTTTGTTGGATGTACCGATTTCGTATCACATGGCGACCCAGTGGGCGATGCTCTTTGATTTCAATCGCCGTTTCCCGCTTCCGCTTCAATTTTGCTGTAGGCTTATCAACGGGAGAACTAGCTTCGATGCTGATATGAGGCTTTCGCTCTGACTCTTCTGCTTGGGCCTCGATTTCTTTCCTTTTCTTCGACTTTTTCTTATTCCTTTTGCTATAAGATTCGAGTTCACTTGCTGTCACATTGGCTTGTTTGTCGGCCGATTTGTTGATTTTTGCACTGTCCGCAGTGGTTTCTTTTCTGTCTTCAGTTTTATGACAAGTGCGTGTCGTTTTGAGCGACTCTTTTACCAGGCCGCTGGAGTCACGTCCCGCGGCTTCATGTTCATCTGACAAATCATCTATTGAATCTTCTTTGACCAGATATCCGCCGGGGATAAATGCCATAGTTTTCCACCTTCTTTCCACATAACTAAGTAGTTTGATGTCTTCTCTTCGGCGTTGTTCTTGGACTAGCTCCGTTTCACTTTTACCATTGAGTCGACCTAGTAGATCTTTAAACGCATCTAATCCAGTTGGTTCATCCTCTGCAAGTGGGTTCCGTGGCCGAGCTCCTAGTCCAAGGGTATCATCTTTAAGTACGACTCGGATATGGGAGGAACTAGCGGAAGTATAGCTGGACGAATGCGCGGCATTTGGGGCGCCTAAGAAACTACCTGGTGTCCATCCCTGTGCGCTCATAATCCGGTGACCATATCCTGTGGTTGAACGGGACCATGTTGTATTGTTTGGATCATGCGAAATTTTCGACCGTCTAGGACCAGACGTTAGTTCAAGAAATGCTACTTTAAGTGGGTGAAGGGGGCCATTCCACTTACTTTTTCGGCCCAGCTAGACCCATTGAAAGAGCTCAAAAATGTGGAAAACTTCTCACTTGGAATAAATTTCCTTCTATACCAAAGCAACTTATCCCAAGTCAAGTATAGAGCATGGAGTAGAAAATATGTGATTTTGCTAATCAATTTGGGTTGTGGATCAGATTGTGTTGTTGAGCAATGCAGAAACTATTTCCATTGGCTAGGACGAGTGCCTGCCCATTGATCATGTGACTAGTTAAGTAGCGACTCACTTCTGGACACCACCTTCATTTGAGCTTAACTTGATTTCCTTTGCTATAGGAACAAAGGAGAGAAAAGAGGAAAAGTGGGCAAGATTTAAGACTTGACAAAGTGGCTTCCTAAGCTTTGTGGAATATTCCAATGTTGGGCTGTTTTTCTTTAACGACTTTGTGCTCTATACTTCATTCCCACTGAAGCAGAGGAGTATGTAATATTCTCTTTTTGCAAACATATGTGGACATGCATGACCTGACATGTCTATGAGTGCTTTTTAATTAAGATAAATTCTCAGTATGACAAGGTTGATTTAAACACTATTGTTTTGAATCAACATTATTAGTATTCCTGAAATGGTTATCATGAAGAAAAATTACAGTCACCTGACTATAGCTACAGATTGCTTCAAGAGCTCTGCAAAGTCACCACTTTTCTGGACTGCGATGACATTTGGCCCAATGCCAATGCAAACAGAAGCCTCACAAATTATCTACTGTGTTTAATGATAGCAATGACAAACAAGCAAGGACCCCAGAACAACCTCAAGAAATTCTCCAAGAAATTGCAAACACACAATGGTGTGGTCAATGATCATGAAGCATTGGCTGGCCTTCCACCAACAGTTGTGACAACTGATTTTCTCAGAACTTTTACTAGACCTGTGAGAGCTTACATTGAGACTCTATCTGTGGAATTGTAGCTCCATTGACTGTTGACTTTTAATAGATGGGGAAACGTACTAAGGAAATTCGACGAAAACTACAGGCCCAACACAACGCGGACTTGCAAAAAGTAGAAGTGGAGATGAAGGAGTCCTTTCGCTCAAATAAACTGATACGGTGACTGCATTCCCTAGCACTATTTCCTTTTTATAATTGCATACTAACACCATGGGTAGCTTAAAATACAGAAAGAGCAATTGGATCAACTCTCCAATCTAATAGAGCAGAAAGCTGAGATAGAGGCCAATATTATTACCCAACTACAATCTCTCAACTACATCCAGAAAGCTGCTAGCAAGGAAACTACTGCAATAGTTGGTATTGGTTCCTTTTGACCTGTCTAGATCTTTTGAAGTGAAGTGAGGTTGGGGGAAACCACTTATGAATGGCACCACAAATGCAGACAGTGTTATATGGGAATTCCTCCATCACTTTTTCGCGCATGCCTATGCTCAATTTCTCTTGACAACTAGGAGGTTCTATTGTATTGTGAGATGTATATGTTTCAAATTATATTTATACTATGAGTACATATTACTCTTCCGAACATTTGCAAAGAGTGGTCTCTAGAGTGTGGGATCATACATAATTTCAAAGATTAAGACCAGCATCCATCTTCAGCTCAGCATCAGCTTGACACCAAGTTAACTACTGTAGTTCTGTTTTGCAGAGGGTAAAGTTAAAACGATGTTAAGTTGGTAGATAACTAATAACTAACTAGATTAATCAACTAACTAGTTATTAATATTGAAGACTGTATTATCACTGTAACTGTACCTTCTCGACATCACCAATTCTGAATAAATGTATGAGAAGTTGCTTTCCCTGCCAGCTGCCCCCAACCTTGGATAACAAGGACTCGGAAAAGATGTTGATTATGAAGAAATAAGGCAGGAACTTCTATAAATTTTCCGAGCGTAGTTCTCCCCTTAACCACGTTGGGCCAATGACCAAATCACCTTGTATCCAGTCTCTTCAGAGTCCGAGAATTCAACCTCAGTCTCACTTACGGTCATATACACGGAAGAATGACTTTTACTATGAAATTAGGAGCTTGGTAAGAGTCCCGACGTGAGTCAATTTTGGTAAGTTGGTCCTTCCCCTTGTATGTGCTGTTCAAGCCCCTTTGAAGCTGCTTGATTTTATACAACCAAACTACGGAGTAGATACATTTCCACCAGTTTTAATCAAATAATAACATGGAATGCTTCTTCCGCTTGCTTACTAAAGCTTCCAATTAATTATAGGGGCGCTGAATCGATCGAGGAGAAATTGCCGTTGCGGAAATGTCCTTGCGGGTGCTCTGTAAAGACCATCCTCAACGCTCTATAGCATTGGTTACTGCGGATAATCATGCTCTTACTTTGGAATACTCGCCTCCTCAATCCGAGTCAGCAGCATCCTCGGGCTCTTATTCCAACGTTGTGCCCCCTCGGTGCGTCGTGAAGTTTTCACGCCTGTCTTCTTTGGACGACGCGGATCACCGGCTTCTAGGGATTGGATATGGAACTCTGGGTCTTCTTACCCTCAACAGCGATGTATTTCTTTGCATCATCGCGAATTTGTCGGCTGTAGCAAACCCTAGACCTAACGAGACTGTCCAAAGGATCGAAAACGTTGAATTCTGTACGATTATCCTTACCTAGCTCTTGGACACGTACGAGGCATTGAATTTAGGCTAATCTCTCTTTTTTTTTTTTAGATTGCCTTAATCGCCCAGATTACGATGCTGTGCTGGACTTTTACGAAGGGAATGCAAGTTATAGCCAATCTAACCTGGAAGCCGATTATGGGACTGCCTTTCAAGGGAAGGATACTGTGACAGAGAATCCATTTTTAGCGCTTAAAAAGCTTTTAAGTGATGGAAGCTTTTATTACAGTACGGATTTCAACTTGACAAATCGGATGCAAGATCGGTAAGGAGGTTTGTTCTAGTGCATTGTGCCTTCGAAGTCTAACTAGCTTGCCAGTGTCAGTCAGGACGCTTTTGATATCGAAAGTCTAGATGAAGACTTCCTCTGGAATTCATATATGATAGGGCCGCTATTACAGTTCCGGAATAAATTGGCCGATCATGAAAGAAATCTGCTTGACTCAACTCAAATCCTCACCTCGGTGATTCGAGGCTTTGTCCAGAGCATGACCATTCCGGCTTCTTCACCTCTTCTCGGGACCTCGCGGTCGCACCTTCCATCAACCCTGACTTTGATCTCGCGACTCTCTTCACGAAGGGCGGGCACAAGATTCAATTCTAGAGGAATAGATGATGATGGCCGAGTTTCCAACTTTGTCGAAACAGAAACGGTTTTATGGATTCCCCCAGGAATTACCTTTTCTTATATTCAAGTTCGGGGCTCGATACCTATTTTCTGGGAACAAACCCCTGGATTGATTCCAGGGCAGCAAAAAATCCAAGTGACGCGATCTGTTGGTGCCACCCAACACGCTTTTGATAGGCATTTTGAAGCTCTCCAGCTGGACTACGGTGTAACCCATGTCATTAACTTGTTGAGCGAAGTAAAGCCAGGCGAAGTTGAGTTATCTGAAAGATACCGTTATCATATGAGACAAAGCCCTTTAAGACGGGCGCGTGACGAAGGGACATCTTCTGCGCATCACCTTTTGCAGTGGACTGATTATGATTTTCATGCGGAGACTAGGGGCCCTGCAGGCTATGGGAATGCCGTGCTCATTGAGCACAAACTCGGTCCTTCCATCGATGGGTTTGCGTATTTTCTATCAGAGAACTCAGGCAGCACTACGCTACAATCCAGCCGCCTTTCGGACAAGCCGGCAGTCATTCTTCAGCAAGAGGGAGTGTTTCGCACAAATTGCCTTGACTGTCTTGACAGGACGAACCTTGTGCAAACATTGATTAGCCGCATGGTGTTAGAAAGGTTTCTTAAGCAGTACCATGGCACTCAGGTCGACAAATTTTGGCTTATACATTCTACTTTGTGGGCTGACAACGGTGATATGTTGTCAAAGGGCTATGCTGGCACTGGGGCGTTAAAGTCATCCTTCACAAGGCATGGTAAAATGTCTCTTGCAGGAGCAATCGCGGACGCAAGGAAAAGCGTCACCAGGTTGTATTTCAACAATTTCACTGACAATGCAAAACAAAACACAATAGATATCTTGCTGGGGGCTTTAACTGGGCAGGCTGCAGTTCATCTTTACGATCCTGTGAATGACCTTGTTAGGGCTGAACTTACGGGGAGATCTACTGAATTTTCATCTAAGAAAGTAATCCGAGTATGGACCGGAACTTTCAACGTCAATGGGCGGCCCTACGATATCACAGAAAACCTTGGGGTTTGGCTCCATGCTCACCTTTCCAAAACTTCGGAAGAGCCAACGCTTCTAGCAGTCGGTTTCCAGGAGATAGTCGAACTCAGCCCACAGCAAATTATGTCCACCGATCCGGCGAGTCGTAAAGTATGGGAAGAGGCTGTTAAAAAAGCGCTCGACGAGGAAACTTCCCGCAGAGGTACAAATGAATATATACTTTTGAGAAGTGGACAGCTTGTTGGTGCAGCGCTCTTGTTGTTTGTGAAAAAGGATGCTTTGAAAGAGATAAAAAACGTTGAGGGCAGTGTGAAAAAGGTAGTTGACCTTCCCCAAGTGACACTAGCAAATGCTGATAAAGATCATTAGACGGGTTTATCTGGCATGGCGGGAAATAAAGGCGGGTGTGCAATTCGCCTGGAATTCTCAGCTACTCGTATTTGTTTTGTCACTGCACATCTAGCTGCTGGATTTGCCAATTACGAGGAGCGAAATAGGGATTACTATACCATCGCTAATGGACTTAGATTCCAGCGTAATCGCACGATAAATGATCACGATGCTGTCATCTGGCTTGGTGACCTCAATTATCGTGTTGAGTTGAACGACGATGAAGTAAGGTCTCACATACAAATGGGGAACCTCGAGGTATTATACGAAAATGACCAGGTAGCAATTTCCTCACGCCTCGGCAATGTTAAAATAATGCTAATAACCAGTCTAAGCTCAATCTGCAAATGATAGCTGGACATACTTTTCAGTACTACTCAGAAGGTCCGATTACCTTCCCCCCTACGTACCGCTATAATAACGGTTCGGACTCGTATGATACATCGTAAGTTTTAGGCGCCATATTTTGCTGCGAATCCTAATCTGTTTAAATGTAGGGAAAAGCGGCGTATTCCGGCTTGGTGCGATAGAATCCTTTGGAAAGGGGAGTGTTTGCATCAACTCGAGTATAACACTGCACCTTTGAAGATGTCTGATCATAGACCAGTATATGCTGTGTTCGAATGCATGGTTTGTACTGTCAACGAGGAAGTGAAGGCGAGTCTGAGCCGCGAACTGTACGAGAAACATAAGAGGGCAATCGAGCCTACTGGATCACCAAAGTCTGAGCATACTGAGGAAGGGGTTCCGGTTCGTGGTTATATTGCTCCTGGCCTTTCGCCAGCTAAACTTACGTGGTGGCTCGATAACGGTGAGAGAGATGTTTAGTTTACCTCAGCCCAATTGCTAACTTAAATCAAGGATTGCCTGTAAGGTCATCTGCGAGTCCGCCCGTGGGCTATGTCACAAGCTCTGGAAGTAGGCAAAATCCTTTCTCGGCACTAACTGAACATGACTGGGTCCATATCATGCCCAAAGGTAAAGATGACAAAGTTCCACGCCGTGCTAAGAACGAAAACCCCCTCCGGAACCACTCGTCTCCCGATAATATTATGGGGGCGTCAGCCAGAGGTGTTCTGGTGGACGTAGGTTTGACTGGACATGAAAACGCGGCCGGTTCAAAAAAAGAGACAAACCATTTACAACAACTTATTGAGATCCCAGAACCCAAGAAAATACCACCGCCGATTCCAAAAAAGCCTTTCGAGTTATCTAACCCAAGCCAAAGCTTTGGCCCTTTCAGCAAGTCTAAATCAAGTATAGTGACAAGTACAAGAGATCCTATTAAGATTGAAAACTCTGACTCTCCTCGGCAAACTGGTGATAGCTGGTCAAATTTACCATATCGCGGCAAAGAAACGCGGTTGTTGTCGGGGAAGATGGATAATATGGAGGGTACAAGCCACCATCGCTTGATAGAAACACGAAACGAGCCCGACAATTCCGGACTCCTGGATTCAGAGATAGACATGGGAATGGCCGAATGGAAACCCCTTCAGCCGAGACAATGATCGCACAATGGTATACTCTATACACGCAAAATGCTGAATTTAAAGAATATAACCATATCATCATCCTTGTTTATGGACAAGTCACCTTCAACGTATGTATATATACATACCTATATTCTTTTTGCCGGTTTGTTCTGCAAAGCACGGCACGGTGCAGGATTGGATAGTAAGATCCCATCGCCGGAAAGCACATGAGCGAAGAAATGGCTCGGATCAGGATTGGAATACATGTTCGTCCAAGGTTCAATTTTGAAACCTCGAATGCAATCGATCCAGAATACCGTACTGGCATCATTGTTTTTGAATTTTGGATCTTCAAAAGTTCTGCATGATACCAAGTGGATTTGGTGGTTAACGGTCGAATAAATCTGTTACTTATGTAGAAGTCCTCCAAAATCAAGTCGGCGGGCCGCATTCTGGAAGGGTTTGCCAATTTCACCTCCCTTTCGACTTAGATCATCGCCCATTTTCTTCGCACCGCCGCTTTTGCGAGGAAGATTTTCTTTCTGAGTTGGTTTAGGTTCCGCGGCCCACCATGCGTGCTGGAGAATTTGCTTCACGGTGCTTCGTTTCCGGGGATCAAGTTTTAACATTGATGCCAACAAATCTGCTCCAAGGGATCCTACGGTTGGAAACTGGCGAAGAAAGAAATCTTTCCCTTGCAGGGGTATGATTTGACTCTCTTCGACTGGAACAAAGTTGGGAAGTTTGGTCACTCCAGGCCAATTTTCTTCGGTTGGTGTGCCAAACGCAGCGCATATTTTGGATATTTGATCCAGGTCTGTATTCCCCGCGGCAAAAGGAACTCGGAGTAGTAATTCTGCGAAAACCATTCCCATGGACCATACATCCACCGCTCCAGAGTACTGACGGGCACCATAAAGGAGTTCTAGGGGTCTGTACCAGCGTGTGATCACCTGGTGAGTCATGTTTAGACGAGGATCTGCGAATGATCTGGCAAGTCCAAAATCAGCGAGTTTGACTTCACCGTCCGATGCGATCAATAGATTGTTGGGTTTGATGTCCCTGTGCAGAACAAAATTTTCATGACAGAACCAGACCCCGCGACTCAACATGCCAATCCAAGCTTTTATATCGGCAGCGCCATACTGAATAGTACTATCCTTGATCAGCATTTCCAAATCGCCAAGTGGCAAGTATTCCAGGACCAGATTCAAGTTTCGATCTTTAGACGAGAAAACTGCATGGAGCGCAATCACATTCGGGTGTGAGAGTTCTTGGAGATATTTTACTTCACGGATCGCATCCATTGACAAACCATCCTTATATTCGGTATTGACTTTTATTTTTTTAATTGCAACGAGAGATGTTGGGTCACTACGAAGATGACCAAGGTACACAATGGCATAGGTACCCTCTCCTAGCTTTTTATCTTTTAAAATCGATTAGACAGTGTTTTGAATGGGCAAAGGACGTCGACTAGCTTCAGAGGCATACCTTTGATATAGCTGTGGCGGATTTCTGCATTTAATTGTTCCGAGAGCTCTAGCTCTGGCTCGTTTGCAATTTCGCTGGTGGGTGCGCCCTCAACCAGAAGTCCTGGAGTTCCGCCTCCCATTGAGTGACGGACTGCAATGGATTTTGCAGGGGTGCTGCTGTTTGGTGTTGCAGTCACTGCAGCCGGCGATCGCGACACGAGCGGTGAGACTGCCATGAATCTCAAGTTCCCAAACTCGGCGTAATGATAACAGAGGTGTTGACAAAGTGCGATTTCAGGCCGGTGGAATTGTAGCCCACAAACCTGAACCCGGAATCTTCCCGGAGCCCATGTACAAACTATTCATATGGATGTAAAATAATTATGGAGCGTATATGCCTTCATCTGGCTTCCCGACAGCGAGGCGAGCCTTTACAAGCTATTGTTCTCACTGACAAGCCGAGATGAGCCCAGAGCAGAGGAGCGGTGGCACGTGATCTCTGTGTCAGCCAAGGGCTTAATCAGCACTGCAAATAAATTAACTAACCCGTATGGATGTCCTAATAGCTAGTTACATAAGCAGATTTCTTGATGCTGAGCTTTTTCTGCATCCCATAAAGAAATATTGTGTCATCCAGACATTGAATGAGAATATGGGCAGTAAGGGTTCTGTCTAGGGAGCTTAGATTTGTTCGACCGATAATATCTCCCTTCGATCCACAACATATTTTGAGCTCTGCTAGACTCGACACATTGGCCAACATCGTTCAAGTGCTCTCCGACCTCATGGCTGCGACCAAGTCTGCTTTTAACCCGCTCCTTTCCTTCCGCTTCCCCAGGACCTTCCATACCTCGTACCTATGTGCGCGCCACCTCCACAAAACAATCCGGCCGGGCTTCATCCCATCTCCGACTCCGTTTGTCCCGGATACACAAACATTCCTCACCCTCATCGGCCGCAACATGTCACAATACAGCAGTAAAATAACGTCCTGGGAGCAATTATTTACAGTGTCTTCTGAGGAATTGCGTGAAATGGGTATGGAGCCTGCGCGGCAAAGGCGATATTTGCTTCGATGGGTTGATAAGTTCCGCCGCGGAGAATACGGCGTTGGAGGACATTTGGATCATGTCACCGACGGTGTGGCGGAATTACGTGCTATTGAAGTTCCGCGGGAACAATTGCATGCTACCAACACGAAAACGGACGACGTGCCTGCTAAATCACCGCTTGGTCTGGCAGGGACCGCTACTTCTTCGCCAGGATGCAAGTGGGTGATCGTCAACTTGCCAGCTGGTGAAACGGAATTGAAAAATAAACCATCTACGTTCAAAAAGTACCCTAAATTCAGGCTTCATCGCACAAACAAGATAAAGGGCCCGTACCTACAGTTGCTTCCTGGTGCGAATGGCAGCGCGGCGAAGATTTCAGTGCAGGAAGGAATGTGGGAAGATAAGCTGGGCCGGAAGATTGATGGCGGCGAAAGGAGAAGAGCAGAGGTTCGGGCAAAACGCCGGATTGCGGAATCAAAGAAATAGCGGGTAGAGTTTGAGAACTGATGGGGGATGAAGTGAAGCGATTTCGCTGTGACCAGCTTATATTCGTTCGACTTGCGAAGAATACTGGTCATCTGGACAGCGGACTATGTAATTATATTTTCTGGTGTTTGATTTAGTTTGGGACTCGAAAAAGATTTTCGTTTAATGCCAGGCTACAACGCCTTAAAGAGGAGCAGTGCAATATCATCCAAACAAGTGTATCTATATATTCATCCATCGAAAAAAAAAAATTATTAAAAGTGATACAGAAACTGATGTTCATGCTAGAATAGAAGCTTCGAAGCCGAATGTGGATGGTCATTGTTTTGAATCCGCCGGTTTGCGTTTCTCCCAGGCTACCTTCGGGTTGCCTAGAGGCTTTGAAAATAGAGACTAGGAGCAATGTTAGAAAAATTGTCAGTGGCAGATGCCTTTGCGACTCACTGAATAATCTGTGTTAGGGATCTCCTTATCCCCATCAAGTTTCTTTAGCTTTAAAGCTCGCACTAGTGCCGCTGTGATGGTTCCCAACTGTACATAGGCGAACTGTTCTCCAATGCACCTATGTCGACCGGATCCAAATGGAAGATAAGGACTGTTGGCGCCTTTGCTGACCAGACCATAGCCATAATCAATCTTTTCCTCAGCGCCCTCATCCAGAACTCCTGTTGTGTTTACGGCTCCTCCTTTCTCCCAGCGATGAGGATTCCACAGCATAGGGTCGGGGAAGTAGTCAGGAAGACGTGATGCCACGCCGGGAGCGGCTAGAAGGTTATGCGTTGTCGGAATGACATACTTTGTTCCGTCTACCGGCATTGGTGACTTGACTGCGCGAAGGATGGAATGAATAGGGGCATGTATTCGAAGGGTCTCTTTGATGACGTTGGAGTGCAGTTCTAGACGCTGAAGGGATTCGTACGTCAATGGTGGGAGGTCTGGACCGAGAACTCGAAGTTGCTCTTCATATAGTTCCTCAAGAATGTCGGGGCGGCTCGCAAGTCGAAGCACGATCCATGAACCCGTCGACGAGGATGAGTGCTGACCAGCCATCAACAAAGCAATCATCATATGTGCGACCTCGATATCAGGTACAGGGGTTCCATCCTTGTACACAGATGACATCAAATTCCACACCATATCTTCCGAGTCCTTTTCTCCACCGGCTGCTCGTCTTTCACGAATGATATCTGTGTAAATTTGAGCCATCTTTTGCTGAGCTCTGTCACGCTTTCGGTTATGTGGGAGCGGCGCCCAAGGAAACATGAAGTTGATAGCAGCAAAGCCCATGTCGAGGTCCCCGTAAAGCTCAGCGAAACTTGAATCAAACTTATCTCGAACTTCCTTTCCTTGAAGCGATCTGGAGGCGGTATAAATTGTGATTTCAGCAACGACTTTTGCGACGCTAAGAATTCCGGAATCTCCTTTGAACGCAGGTGAGTTTTCAAGATACTGTTCAACTTCCCTAGTGATCAGGGTGACGTAGGACCGCAATGCTTCGGAGGTAAGACCGAATTTGACGAACTGGAGAAATTAGCTGCCGGCCTTCACCGTCTGAAAAGAACTTACCTTCTTCTGTTCCATTAATTTTGCGTTCGGGCAATCATAGACGACATGTCTACCGAAAACGGGTGTCGTCAAAGGCGAATACACCTCTTCTGCGCAAACGTCCTTTAATTTACCGTTGAGGATAAAGTCGTTGCCCTTAGTTCCAAGATACACAGTTGTCTTCTTCCCGAGAAGAATAAATGTGAATATGTCGCCGTACTGCCCACCGAAAAAAGAGATTGGAATTAGCTACCCAAACGCGAGCAATTCGTTGACAGCGCAAGAACACACCTTCTCCCGGCACGAAAAGAAAAAGTTGTACGGATCAATGCCATATGTGATAGTACTGCCGATAACTGGGAACCAGTGAAAAACCACCGGAGGCTCATTAGGATTCTTGAAGAGGATCTGATTTAGAACATTGACGACAACGGAGAGCGTGATGAAAGCACCAAGGCCTAGCAACGCCAGTGTCCAGAGCGGTTGCGTCGAACAGGCCTGGCGAGCGCCGGCGAAGAGATCCGCAAGTACCCCCATAACTGCGAGAAGTAAACCGAACCCGATTGACAACAGAGTTGCTTGAGAACGAGCTTGCGGTTTGCAGAAAAATAAGTCCGTTATCAGAAACAAGGGGCGATGGCTTGCGTAAGAATACGGTAATGGGATACGGTGCCTGAGCACCAGCGTAATGCGCCTTACTGTCTTTGGCTTAGCGGTCAGATTCGGCACAGGGCCAGGCTAAGCCACATTGAGAGGCTGATGGGATCACGCCACCTGCAACGCGCGCATCGGATGGGATGGCATGGGCTTCCGGTGAACGGCCCGTCTATCATCAAGGTCAAATAGGAGCGCGTTTATGATCAACTACGATACACGACAGGAAGACTGGGGGATTTATCCTCGTAGCCAAAATGATGTATTGAATTATTAAGGTGAAAAAGACATAGTACTGAGACGGAAGAGTTGATGATTGTTTTCCATTCACACAAGGCAGGAAGAAGAAAGGCCGCGAGCTCAAGTTCGTCGCCGCCCCCGAGGAGCTTCATCAGATTCGTATCGGCTGTCAGGATCGTGGGCAAATAACGTCTGGTCACCACGGCCTCCCAGATGCATGAATTCGCCCGGGTCTCGATTGTCAGCCGGCTTCGGTTCCGGGCGATATTTCGGCCCCTTTGCAGGCTGGTTATGCACTCTCTTCCCTGCCGTATTTTTATCAAAGATCTTAACCTGTCCATAACCATGTTCACGGTCGTCATCTAAAACCTGGCTGACAACAACATCGTTGATGTTGCTCAGAAGAGTCCTTTCCCGCTCCATTTTTCGCCTTGAGAAATCTAGCTGTCCCATCGCTCCGGTTAAACCATCCGTGCTATCTGCAACACTAGGATATTTCCCAGTTAGCCAGGGGTGTTGCAGACATTCATCAATTGTAATTCGTTTATCGACGTCAACCGTGAGCATCCTATCAATCAAATCGAGAGCTAGGTCGCCAACCGAGTCCCAATATGGAGAGGGATAGTCAAATTGGCCCATTTTTATCTGGTCTGCCAGGGTGAGAGGGTTCTCAGCGGTGTAAAGCTCATCAGAAAAAGGTGGAAACCCGCAGAGACAGATGTACAGGACAACCCCAAGCGACCAGATATCAACAGCGCGCGTATATCTTCGATGCTTACTGTTTTCTAGAATTTCCGGTGCAACATCTACAAACAGCAAGGTAGTCAGTCAGATATATGCCATCGCGACTCGTCAGTAGTCCAACTCACAACTCGGCGTACCACATCTTGAAAAAAAAAAAGGCTGTTAGTGATTTGAATGCTTAAGGTCGGAGGCTAGACTTACAAAGTGGTAGTAAAAGAATCTTCGCCTATTATTTTGGCAAGGCCAAAGTCTGCCAATTTAGCTGTAAGATGCTTATCCATGAGCAGTATATTTTCAGGCTTGATATCCCGATGCACAATGTTACGCTCATGCTAGTGGTTAACGTCAGCTGGATAGAACCCAAATGCAAAAATGGGATTAAAGGGATTATTACCAAGTACTTTAAACCCTGGAACAACTGAAGGAATAAATGGCGTGTCTCGTCCTCTGTAAGCTTTTGGTGGGAAACAACCCAGTTGAACAACTCGCCTTCCGGGGCAAGCTCAAGTATCAGGTAGACAGCGTCACTCTCCTCAAAGGTATCTTTAAGACAAAGTACATTTGTATGATTAACACTCTTGAGAACCGCAATTTCCTGTTGAAGGGCGTCGTTATCAGATTTATTGGAACTCCCCATGCGAGTCTCGAACCTTTTGACGGCATACTTGGCACCGGTGGCTCTCTCGGCACAAAGGTATACGGTCGCAAAATGACCCTTGCCTAACTGCTCTAGAATGCGGTACTGTTGTCGAAACCCTCCGGTGTTTCGATTTCTAGGATAGCGAAATATGAATCGAGCTTCATCGAGGACAGTAATCTCGTCTCCATCCTCAAGTTCGCGATGTTTGTTGCGACCGACAATGGCCTCATTGACAAACGTACCATTGCTGGACAGGTCTTCTAAAATTGCCACGGAGTCTCCCTTTCTGTTTTCGTGGAAGATCAAACAATGACGGTTTGATATTGTGGGTATCTCTAGGATTAGATCTGCAGCGACAATTAGCCGATGGTTCAAGGGCTTTGGAAACACCGGCGAACGATTCAGCCCGGCTGTGAAAGCCATTGGCAATACTTACCACATTCAGAATGGCGACCTATCAGGTAACCGCTTGGGTTCAGTTCCCTTGGAGTAGCCTTCTCCTTTCCCTTCCTGCGCTTCAAACGAGAAGTGCCATTTTTGGCGGCTCCGCAAACAGGAGTCGAAAAACACGTGTCCCTCTTTCTCAACACGAGAGTGTCCCCGAATCTGTTATCCAGCGGAACGAGATAGCCCCAAACACCTTCTGCTGCCTCATCTTCGACCCCGGTCACAAATGCGCGGGAAAGGTTTTGCGAGAATGCTTGTGTGTCGCCCGGCGGAGAGGAAAACTGTGTCAGATTGTCGAGTGCAGGTGTATAATGCCGAAGTTGGCTAGGACGCCCTTCAGGGGGCGTGGCAGTGGCCTCTTTATGAAGTTCGGTTGCCGTAGACGCTTGGTAGGTAAGCGGAGTAGGAGTATACGGCTTGTTCTTTCGAACTACTTGCGATTGCGCCAATTGTGATGATATACGTTCCGAGCGCCTGGGTTTTTTGACATCTGGCTCGGGGTTCCCGGCGCTTATCTTTGATACCAAACCATCAGTCAAACCCTGAATGACATGGAAGCGGCATAATCTACTTACTCTCCCCCTTTTCAGGCCGCTCTTTTCGTTTTGCGGGGGCATGGCGAACAGGGTTTAATCGACAAGAATCCGCGAATGCTGGCTAGACATGAAGGGTACGGTTTCCGGGATGCGATGAGAGATATTTAAGTGGAATCTCGGTCGGTAACGATCTCCCCAAACTGGGGAGCCCCAAATCCAAATTGAAGGATCACAGAGACGTAAAGGTGGATTCTCCGACTTGGCTCCGACTCGGGAACTCGGGATCGAGGTGGGCGTGGGTAAACAGGCCCTGATCGAGAAAACGATGTAATTATTCACAGAGCTGGGTAATTGACCAGCATGCTTGACGGCAGGGTGGATGAGGGGCTGTCTAAATATCAGACGAATCTCCCAACCTCAGATTTGTCCAATGTTTCGGGGCTCAAAACTAAGAGAGATTGACAAATGACGGTTCTGATCATGGAGTTCCAGACAGTACAAGGCTGAGGAGCTGGCGGAGGGAACATTGATGAACTATTAACTAGCACTCCGTAGTCCACTCCGTAAGCACAGCACCTCCACCCGGTGCTCCCAGATGCACATGGGCTGCAAAAATCCAAAACTCCGCAAAAGAGTGCTTTTTAGGGTGTTATTTCGCCATTTGTGGGTGATCGTCCTATCAAGCTCAAGTGGTACGAGGGTTGTGTGACTGTCGACATCTAATTATCTAGTTACATTTTGGTCTGTTTTGGGCTTGCAAGGCAGAGAGAACCTCAGTATGCTCTTCCATAGAACTGGTCTTCAAACACTGCGCATCAATCTGTCTGGTGCATCTTCTGCATTTTGCTGCCCAAGAGCTGTGTGATGCATTCAAACGTAATCTGATCGGTTTGATGGTTTCCAGAATTCAATGGCCAGCCCTTGTGCTTGTGAAGGCTGGCTGCCTGGCACTTTATTAGTTAATTATGTACAGAGTACTCCATCTACAGTTCTTTAAGCGAACCAGGAATTTGCTTTCAGTCCAGGGTTGAAAGGAGGCTGTCGCATCATTTTTAAAGGGGAAACAAAGCCAAAAGTATGGATATGGATGGTCCCAAAATAGATTTGTAGTTTTTAGTTAGCTAGATATGGTCAACCTCGCCATGAGCTCCATCTCCGGAATTTTGTTGCGCCTCCACTCCAACTCTCCAAGTATATAAATGGAATAGACTAACACTGCCTTCCTGGGGGTCATAGAATCCCATTCAAAATAAAAATGTGAGAGCAATTTGTTCGCGTGCTCGACCGCTGTCACCTTGTTTTATTGCTAACACACCATGTCCAGGCAATCGACGTATATCCGCCGTGCGGCCTTCGAGAGACTAGCCACGTTAACAGCAAAGCATTCCGAACCTCATACAATATCCGATCTCGACCGGCTGCGGAGCTGCTGCCAACGTCCGGCCGCATCGCCAACCGGCTTTCTCGATGGGGTTTTCAAAGGGAGAGTGGCTCCCTCTCCAATTGTATACATTCCCAACTTTCCGTGCGTTTCTCACGCGAGGTTGTTAACCGAGAACAGAGGTTTCGAGAATTAGACGCCCTTCTTGCTCTCTGCGAAGCTGCAAAGTCGAGTCATCGCCCAGAAGATGTTGCAAAGCTGGTCGTGCTCTTTACAGATTATCTTCCCGACTGCCCATCCTTAACGTTACACCCATCCCCCTTCCTTCACAGCTTTGAGACGCCTCCCTGGGAGCTTTTAACTCGCAGCCTCATAACTGCGTTGCTCTCTCTTGGGTCGCGTCACGCATCGTACCATGATCAGATTTACAGCAGTGTACTCGCCTACATAGACAACTGTTATCAACTCGCGAAGAACCTGCCGGCATTAGACGACCAGGGAGATCGTATTGGTGACCATGGAAACCCCGAAGATATTGCAGATGTCGCGACGGTTGCAGTATCGTTAGTTGGGCTCCTCGACGGAATGTCGACCGCCGTACATTTTTTTAGTCCGAACGAACGTTTGCATATCATCAAGCAGCTACGGTTGGTGCTGTCAGAAGATCTTTTGGTCGCTGTTGAAACAACGTCTTCCACCATTCGCAATTTACAAACCTCGGACCTTTCCTATCAACATTGGCGGCGGTACGCCAGGGTTTCGGCGGCTGGTGGCAGGCCGCTTAGTTCAATGCTACTTCAAAAAGCCTTTCTGGGATTTGTCAAAGCCTGCACATCTCCAATTAGCAAGGATGGTAGGGTAGTGCCTGATGATGCCTTACTAGATCGGTACATAAACAGTCTGGATAGTTTAAGGCAGGATAGCGATGATCTTGGTCCACTTGCAAAATATTCCGCCCAGATTGCTATTGATCAGGTTCAGCTTCTGGAAGAGGGCTCAGACTATCTACAGCTCGGCGTACCTTGGCAACAGCACCTTGCATTCACCGCTAAAGCATTTGCTTTGGTTATTTTCGTCAACTGTATAATTCTTGATGAAGACGCGGCCGACATTGATGTCTTGATTTCATGGCTCGAATCCACCATCCTGGATGTTGACAAAATGGCAAACAAGGAGTTGGCGACAGTTACATTCAAAGCTTTTGTGGTTTTATCTAAATTGTCCCGCCTCAACGCGCCGAATTTGACGAGATCTCTTTTGCGGTTTATTGTGCAGAATAGGCAAAGCGGCGCAATTCTCGCTGTCGCAGCACGTTCACTGGCCCAAAATCTTCAACTCCTCTCACAGGATACCATCATTGGAACCCTTTACTCTTTGGGAAACGTGCTTAGCGCAAACCCTGCTCACGAAAATGCCCACCAGCATGCAAGTATGCTGACAGACGAGACTAATATTTACTCGCGCAATTTCGCTGTGCAATCTCAGCAATCAAGTGAAAGCATCATCTCGTTCACCCTGAATGGCGAAGAAGATACGTTGATTGCGTATAAAAATGTAGTACATGCGATTATAACTGTTGCCACAAGCTCCAAGGATGGCAAGATTATTGCTCTAGCGCAATCAATGCTTCTGCAAAAGATTGGGAGAGTAAACATCTTGCTTGACGCTTGTATCGTTGAGGAAACCGTCGCACTTGCTCTTGAACATGATCCTCCAGAATTCCAGCTATTGCTCAAGTTCTATGCCCGTCTTTATCGGGATGCTGCTGCCCAAGGAAACGCGTTAGTGGTTGAAGCCGTATGTCGCTCCCTTCCCTTCAATTGGGTTTCCGATGCTAATTTAGTCTCTCATAACGCTCACAGGTTCATAAAGCGAGGAACTACCTTGCTATATGTCTTCAGAAGGATAACCCTTTATTCAGAATTTACTTGATCTTCCTCCTTGAGAGTATTGTTAACAAGGGAGGTGCCACGGATCGCGAGAAAGACCGGACTAAAGAAACTGAATTATCCTCTGAAGAGATCTACCCGTATTTGCCACCGGTAGCTTCTCTCCTTGCTAAGCTTGAATCTGTCGATGATCTCCCTGGCGGTGCTAGAGAGAATGGAGATATACTATCCTTGTTGAGAGACACTTGGTTTAATATCGCTGCCCATGGAATTGTCTTGAGTTCTGAAATAGGTTATCGACATCGTGAAGAGCTCCGCGTCCTTGCTAATCTTTCGCCTCCGCTCATTTCGGAAAACCGCGCAGAATCGCTTGAAAGCGATATTGAATTAAACACTGTCCTAAGACGGGGTCTTAGCTCGCCGCACTCCTCTGACAGGAAGAAGAGTTTGATCCAAGAATTGCCAGCTTTAGAACACGAGATCAAGCGATTAAGTTATCCAAAAGTCGTTTTTCTCAATGCAACTTTGCTCTTGGAGAGTCTTCGTGCTTCCTCTGGAAATTTTACCAAAGTGCTTATCTACTCCATAGATCCTGCGCTGAATAGTCCAGATATTGCGAATTGCATGAGAGCTATTGTTGACAAGGTTGTCACGTTATATCTTGAAAGAGCATTATCCAACAATTCGGCAAGGTTCTCTGCCCCTTTTATATCGCAGCAACTTGCACAGGCCTTTATTGCATGCTGTCACCGGATTGAGAGTGTACAACAAACCTCATCAGCTGCCGCTGCGAAGATAATAGCCAAATGCCCATCTTCCCTGTGTGAAAAGAGATCCTTGTTCACACTTTTAGATTTGTTAACTCTGTTGTGGTCATCTTGTTTGGATGAGGAATTGGATGAATATGAATGGAAATCAACATTCACCTCTGTGAAAAGCAAAGTCGAAATCGAATTATCTGACAATTACGAATTCAGAAAACACACTCTGAACAATTTTTATAATCTGGCTAGATCTTGGGTCGTGGCAGTTACGAACATTGCTCCGTTGGACGTCAAAGGCTTACTTCAGGTGCTTGATCTTTTGAATCTCCTCCAATTGCTAGAACCGAATACTAATAATACTATTTTAAGACTTATTTGTCGGAGTATGATGATGACGGCGGTTATGGCCATACTTCCCTGGGGCGATCCTTTGCACTTGAAATTGGATCGATTATCCCTCTCAGTGACCATCGATTAGGTATTTCAAACATCCATGCATTTCGATTCCCTCCAGGAGCTTATGCAATAATAGGATCTATTGAACGCAGCGGCAATACGTTGTTAAATGTGGCATCTGACTTTGTTGCTCAGTATACGACACGGCAAGAATATCGCTTTTCCGGAACAAACCCACTCGCTGGCGAAAGTTTACGGTCGTCATCTATGTTATGTAGGTTAAGTCCGATTTGCTTCTTCAAGCTTTTACTAACTTCAGTAGCCAACGGTGCTGGGAGTGAAAGTTTCCTGCCAGACACAGAAGATATCTGTGAAACATTGAGTGGATTAGAATCACAGATTTCCCAGCAAAAGAAGATCCCATTAGACACGCCACGAAACGTCCTTCGAAGGGCCGCTGCTCGCCTCTGTAATCGTGCTGATTGCGAGCCATCTCTCATCTCTCATCTAGTCAATATTCCTTTCCAGATATTCACTAAAGAGTCTATCAAAATGGGAATATCACTCTGGCTAGGAGTAATCAACGAAAACCCAGAAACGCAGCCCCGGATAATTGTGGAAGTCGCGCAAGCTTGGGAACGTACTCTTCGCCGGAAAAAAGGCATATTCGATCCTAGCTTTAAGTGAGCACGCCATGTCTTTAATTTTTAAACTCTTCCCTGATTGGAATCTAGCTATTTGGACCCGTTTATGACCAAGATCGAATCGTTGCCCTCTGACAAAAGTGCCGTTACGAAACTTCAGCGGAAAGCTCAAAATATCATATCCCCACATTTGCGCCTCCTCCAATTCTTCGAAAGTCATTTCAACGCGACAAGGCTAGCTAGCCCTCAAATCCAAAAGATTTTCAGGCGGCTTGTAAATACTACGCTGAATTCACTCAGGCATACAGCTGGCCACCCTCTTGCCCGAGAATTTCATTTTCACACCATCCTTTTCAGCTTGAAAGTCCTCCGATACTGCAAAGGGCAATCAAAAGTCGCATTGTGGAAGCTAAAAGATCAGATTCTTTCAGCTGCTTTGAGCTGGTTCAGCCAACCCCCTAGGTCAGTAACGGTTTACCTTAAGCATACAAGTTAGCTGATCATATATTAGGTGGTCTTTTGGAGCAAATCGTTTACAAATCAAAGCTGAGGATAAAATCCTCCAAGGTATTGAATCATATTTGAGCGTTAACTCCTGGATTGAACCTAGAGACACTACCACCCGTAAATCTTTGAAGGCCAAACAGGATCTTGTTTTGATCCTTGTCGAAAACGAAAGAAGTCGCTTAAAGGTGTGGCTTTCTCCACTCGATACTGAGAAAAGACACCATCCTGTAAACAAGGCCTCTGAGGTGAGTCTACTTTGGTCGTTCTAGACTGCAATATTCTTATGCGTCATCTAGGGTGCGATATCCGGGTTGTTGAGGCTTGCCTGGGCAGAAAACCCAAGCCTGGCTATTCAGTTATCCTCTCGGTTTCCTTCATCGAAACTTCAGAGTGACGTCCGCTGGCTAGTATTCAACTTTCCCGAAAAGACATTAAATGAACCCGATAGTTTAGAGATACTACTGGGATCCTCACTACCTCAAGATATCACGTTCCAATTGAAGGTATTTATATTCCTGTTGAATCAGCAGCGCGGCTCTAATTCTCTATTGCAGTATCTCCTATTTTGGGCCCCGACAAACCCGATCGCTGCAGTGACATATTTCCTGCCAGCGTATGGAAATCATCCATTCATTATACAGTATGCGATGCGTGCACTGGAAAGCCATTCTGTGGATGTTAGCTTTTTTTATATCCCTCAACTCGTCCAGGCTTTGCGCTACGATGCATTAGGGTACGTTGAGCGGTATTTATTCGAAACCGCCCAGCTTTCTCCACATTTTGCGCATCAAGTTATCTGGAATATGAAGGCGAATGCGTTTAAAGATGAAGACTCGCAAATTGTAAGTGGACTATTCCAAGAGTCATTCTAGGTATGACACCACTAACGCTCGCCAGCCCGACCCTGTCAAGCCAGCTCTCGATAAGTTTATGGACGAGCTAATCTCCAGCTTTTCGGACGCCGACCGAGACTTCTACGAGAGAGAATTTTCTTTCTTTCACGAAATTACTGACATTTCGGGAAAGCTGCGGCCATATATAAAGCGTAGCAAACCCGAGAAGAAGGAGAAAATTGAGGAAGAGCTACGAAAAATCAAGGTAGAGGTTGGCGTCTATCTTCCAAGTAACCCTGATGGGGTTGTCGTTGGCATTGATCGTAAATCAGGCAAGCCATTGCAAAGTCACGCAAAAGCACCTTATATGGCTACCTTCAGGATCAAAAAAACTAAACTGGAATCAGGCGGAAATGGGAATGGAGCTGATGACAAAAGCACAAAGCCTCTAGCGGAGGCCAACAGCCCCAAGAGCACAGCTGTGGGTTCGACGAAGGAAATAACCTATGAAGTTTGGCAGTCAGCTATTTTCAAGGTTGGGGACGACTGCCGCCAGGACGTGTTGGCATTACAAATGATAGCGGCCTTTCGCAGTATCTTCGGCAGCGTCGGTTTGGACGTTTTTGTCTATCCATACCGTGTGGTCGCTACCGCACCAGGTTGTGGAGTTATAGACGTCCTTCCCAATTCAATTTCTCGCGACATGTTAGGACGGGAAGCGGTTAATGGTCTATACGACTACTTTGTTTCCAAATACGGCGGCGAGGACTCGATCCGGTTTCAAGAAGCGCGGAGTAACTTTGTGAAGTCCATGGCAGCATACTCCAGTGATCTCTTACTTGCTGCAGTTCAAAGATCGACACAATGGCA